TAGATCAGAATGCAGCTCAGAATGCAGATCAGGACATTCAGTCCTGTGTTTGTGCTTTCACCATGGTAATTAAATCTGTAAATATTAATGAAACAGGTTAGGTTTAGGTTAGGTTACGAGGCCTGGAAAAGGTATTTCTGTTTAGATTGTGAAATCGCCAATCATTTTTCTTTTCATTCCCCTCCAAATTGGAATCGGCAGCCATGTGCGACTGCTTTGAAGTGTCACTTGGGAGAGAACGAGACACCTGGCAATACTCCTCCAACCTGATCCGCTGCTGAGCCAGATGCCATTTGACACACCGCAAGCCCCACGGCGCCTGACAGGAGAGGCAGCGCTAGTTAGAGGAGTGGTCTCATTCACACCCCTGCTGGCCTTCCGGTGTCGCTGTTTGCCAGGATACCAAAGGGATTGCGGTAAGCAAGGGGTGGAGCCTCTCCTCTAGCTGTAACTCAGCTAGTTTTACAGAGACAAAGCGCTCTGCAGATAACACATTGTTCTAACTTTCTAGCCTTGTGTACCTACTTGTTCGCCACTCTCCTCACCATGACGAGGTAGAGGAAGTAATGCACTGTGCCGTCCCAGTAGCACATCATTATCCCAAAGGCTGTGCGCAGATAGGGCTCCCCCTGCCAACAGAGCACACAACACAACACATTGCTGGGAGCTGCAGTACCGGCAGATCAGCCGTCTGTAAGTGGCACTGGTGATGAGGTTCCCTGATGTGCAAAGGTACGGATTCTGGACTCTGCACTGTGCTGGGCCGGTAGAAGAATAGGTATATGTGAAGAACAATAAGAACAAGCATTTTTTTAGATAAAATAAGCCACGGCATACAAATTTGCATTGGTCATATTTTTGATGTGCTCAAGAAAAATGTCCATATGAAATTATTCTCAGTTGCATGGAGAGCAGAATGCTTGTGTATATATATATGACCTGTACCTTTAGTCCTACAAAGAAAAAACTGTACACAGTGTTTATGTATAAGAGCATGTGGAGATAATACTGGTCAACAGGGGTACGTAGTGACCCTAGGTGTGGAACTGACCTCCTTCATGTAGAACTCCATGAACCCAGACACATAGCCGTCCTCTTCTGCAGCGATAATGAGATCAATGACGCAGGTGAAGGAAAACACTGCAAACACTAAGAGAGGAACACAAGGCATTAGGATGTTTCTTATCCCTACTGATCATCAGGTCAATGCAGCAGAATCTAGCATCCTATTTCAGTTTAGTCTATAAAACATTTTTGGCTCATTGCAGTGAACCTCCATCTAAACATCCAGTACACATTGGTTATGCAGATTTCCTAGCCAAGTGGAGGAATGCTTCTGCTCCTTATTTCTTGTGAGGCATCTTGTCTCATGAAAAGTCTTTGGCACATGGTGTAAGCGAGGGCTGCTGAGAAATCCCGAGATATTTATCGATTCCAGGGCCTGAGGAAGGAAAGGCAGTACATTCAGTCTTGTGTTTGTGCTTTCACCATGGTAATTAAATCTGTAAATATTAATGAAACATAGACCTCTTCCGCGCTCTTGACATATGTAGCATATATTAAGAAAAAGAAAAGATTCTCTAAGGATCAGGAGTGTTAGAGAATGTGGCACAGATGGTGTTTGATTGCTGTGAGCTCCTGTATGTAATCATCCGTCTGCAGACGCAGCATGGAGAATTTTGTTTTATAAGCTGCTGAAACCTGCACGACTGTGGCAAGCAACGAGTTAACACCCTGGAACCACAACCCCCCCGACACATACACACTCCCCCCCCACCTTGTCTGTATATAAACTTTTGCTTCTAACCAGTTATTGATCTCTCTGCTGTGGAAAAAGATAATGATGTCTGCAAGCTGTCAGGTTTGAAGGAGATTTATATGGGGGGCTGCGGGCTGAGTTTTCCTAATGCCTGCCGCTCGGACCTCAGGTTAAAAGCGCTGCTGTGCTGAAAGGGCACTTTCAGTCGGAAAGTCGGAAAACATCCTCGTGTCACAGGGCAGGAGCTGGGGGAAAGAAATGAAGGGAGGAAGAGAGACAAAGCCACTCGAAGACGGAGATAGATTGGCATAAATGCTGCAATGTCTTCTGCCTCCAACTGGTTTCTGTGCTGCCATTTTAAAGGTACAGCTTCCAGTCTCGCCAGCTCTCCTCGGCTTCTCTGTGATCCCAGAGCAGCCTGTTTGCACCACTGATCTGGCCCATTTTTATTCCACTTCACTGGTGTTTGCCTAACTAAGTACTCCCTTTGTAACATGGCGTAAGATTCTTATTAATGCTCTGTGTGTGCCGAGGGTCAGTGAATGTGAAGGGAGGGTAATTCTAAAGGCAGAACACGGCTCTGAAGCTCACTGGTGAAGTTGCAGAAATGCAAGCCAATTTGCTGCACTGCATAAAGGCTTTGAGAAACTTGAAAATCATTTTGCACTATCCTGGTGGATAAGCAGCAAAAAGCAGAGAATTGCCATTGCAGGAGAAGAAAGAATAACTTGATCTACTGTTTATACACTATATCCCTAAGGTATATTTTAATCATGTGTAGTCTAGACCGCACACAGTGTAGAAACAGTTCAGCAAACCCCTTTTTCCAGAGTTTCAGAGGAAGGGAAGGAAAAGGCAAAGGAAAGCTTCTGTCAGACAGATATATGGAAGCATAATGATGCAGCTGCTCTCCAGGATAGCAATGTTAATCCGGCACAGAGCTCAGTTAAGCTTCAGGTAGATGGTGGGGACAGGGGTTACAGTTTATGAAGTTATGGCTTCGGTGACCTTCAGTTCTGGCCTGCAAAATGGTGATGAGTTTGTGCCAATGGGAAGATCAGATTGGCTATAGCAAGATTTCTTTTTTTAAGGAAGGATGTTAAACCCAGAATTCTGTTTCCTCGAAACACTGCAGAGAAGCTTTTTCAGTGTGTGACCACTCCTGCCACACAAAATGAAAAGAAAAGAACTTAAAATGAACGAAAGCTTTACTGCGAGGAGCGTGGCCAAACCTGAAATTGATTTCGCCCTTCATTAAGAGGAAGAAGCACAGGTTTGTGTGGAGAAGGGGGTCAGTCTTAAACGTCAAAAAGCAGGGAGCACTTCATCAGTAGAACTTGACATACAGCAAGACCACATGACTGATGAATTTACACTCTCCCCTGATTGGCCGAAGGCAAAATGTTGCCGGAAACAATTTCTCAAAAACAGAAAACAATTATACACCTTGCATCTGGAAACGCAACCAGCATTCAGGATGCCTGAATCATGTTTTCGGAGTTTGCAATGAAATCACACCATCCCAGTGAATTTATAGACTTAATCCGGATTATTGCTCTGAGGAAGCTGAGACAGATGTAGACAGGAAGTAGTGTTAAAGGCTGAGGAACTGTTGCCTGAAATATACATTGCTCAACAGGGTTTTTAGGTTAATAAAAAGACAGGAATATTGACTTAAGAAATGAAAATGACTTAAAATGAATTCTTGTTTCCTTGAGCGACTTTGGTTGTAGAAGAAACAACATCTTTTGCATGAACGAGGTTGGTAGAGAGATGGGTTTTGCAGAGATGGAGGTTCACTGTGCATCGATCCCGGTTAAGAGCTCTCAGGGCTATAATCAGGACTCATTTTCAGCGCAGTGCACTAATGTTCATTGATTGAAAGAAGACAAGCGAAGAAACATTTGTAGCCAGTTGAGCTTTCTTTTAATGTTCCTCCAGTTACTGCTGTGTTCTGATGTAACCCCGTTACCATGGTACCAAACAAGCCAACATTGGGCATATGACAGTACTCACCATAGAAGAGGGGGTCTTTGGGTGAATTATTGCGGACTGAATAGTAAACCAGAACATACAGCATCACCAGGACAGCCGCGCCGATTCCCAGGATGGATACAGGACTGAAAAAAAGACACATCCTCAATTAGCTGCTTCATTTATTGACACAGTTTCTAATTTGTTTTCCCCCTCCTTCCTCCAGCAGAGCTACTGCTTCACGTTTTAGTTCCTCAAGTGGATGAGATTAGATAACCGCTGAATCACAAAATATGCACTGCTGTACAATTAAAATGCAACATCAATAGCGACTGTGGCCACACAGTTATTTATATTTTAAGCATGAGTCAATTTGTTTGATGACTTCAGTCATATGATTTCCCCAGATAATGAAATAGCGAGCCCCAGTTTCTAAGTGTTTGATGTTTCAGATGACTTAAAGATGACAAAATGAGCTGAACACGAACCTCGGCACACAGATGTTTAAAAAACACGTGTTAAATGACACAGAAACAGCAAAAGATGCAACCGTGCCCTGCTTGAATAAAGATGATTGGAGGTTGCCCATCTGTGATATGAGTTGCATGCAGAACGAGAAGTTCTCTGCAAGGGACCGAGCACTTCCTGGAAGGAAAGCAGGGGGGCGCCACACCAACTCAGGACTGCCACATCTACCGGATCCACCTGCGCAACTGTTTTTGGAGTTAGCTTCCAAATCAGGGTCATGGGAATCAAATGAGCCTCCCCCACTGCTCTGAAGCCGTGTGCGCCACAATTCTGCTTCCCCTCGTCATGCCTTCACATGCTACAGCAGAAAATCAGTTCCAGCCTATTTCACCACGGGATCGGTACTTCTGCACATGTTGGACTGGGGTTGAAACTGTCCTGTTGTGTAGCAAAGCAAACAACTTCGACATAAAAGGACCCCTTACCCCACATCACATTATATGCGATTGGATGGTAAATTGCTCTAGGAAATAACTTTCTTTTTTGTAATAAAAATAACTAGGAGGGTGGGAGAAGGGGTTTACAAAAGATTGTAATTAGGTCCTAGGCTTAAAATCTAAAATATTTTAACTTCTGGAGAGTCAATCTAAACGTTTTTCAGTGCGGCTTTAGCAACAACGTGCGCTCGAAACGATCTTTCAAATGACAGAAAATAAACAAAGCAGGCAGGAGAGGGAAGATCCGCTGATGCACTTTGCAAGGTATGAGACACACAACAAAAGCACCTCAGTGTTGATGTCAGCTAGATCTTCAAGGTTAAAGAGCCAAGTGCCCAAGATGGCACTCTTCTATCTCACTAGCTCGCGGCACTGAAGGATAAATGCATTTTCTGAGTTCAGCTGGTGTCGAGATCCTTGCAGTTTTTTGCAGCTTGTCCTCAATGGGCTGATACCGCCCGGGGCGTCTGTCTCCTCTCATTCGGAAGCCTGAAGGAGGGGAGAGACAGCTGCCTGCTGCCTCTGTGGCGCAGACGGAGCTCTACTGCCTAGTCCTCTGCGCTGGCTTGAGCGGGGCTCATTTACACATCTGTGTCTGTGCCCGGGTCCCGCTATGGCTGGTCCATTACCGCGCACTGGGCTGGGGTCAGCCGCTGGCGGCTAGCTGTTTCCATTAGCTTGAAGGCGAGCGTGTGAAGTCAGCCTTGCAGCCCTCTTTCAGAGGAGGTGGAGCCCGCTGGATGGGTTAAAAAGGTGCCACCCCAGGTGCAGATGAGGAAGGAGTTATAAGACGGGATCTGGGAGCTGGGCACAGAGTCCGTGGGCAGGACATGCAATTGTCTAATCCCCCGCCCAAGACAACAGCACTGTGCTTGAGACCGAGATGCGGGAAAGCTTTTAAAATGCACCACAAAATGACAACCGGGCAAAGCTTAACTGCTAGAGCTGTAAAATCCACCGAGAGCGGACAATTAAAATTTGTAGTGCTAAGTGCCAGCAAACTGCCAGAATACAATGCACAACAAAAGTTTGAGCTAGTAACCAAAACACCCTGCTCTCACTGATGGCTATTAAATGTGTTAGCAATATGCAAATGCTTCAGTTTACTGTGACAAATGAGCTTTTTTACACCAGAAGTGTAAGCTCTACTCAGGCATGACAGTAACTACAAGAATCTGATGTGGATATCGTGAAAAACTATACTGGCATGTACTGATTTTTTTTTACAATACAACAGATTTAAGCATTAACATTCCTGTCTTTTTCAAAGGTCTAAGGAGTGACATTCCCTCCCCCCATTCCCAGCATCCCCCATCCAAGCTCCATGCATAATACAGGGGGCACGTAGGCAAGGAACCTTTGGAAAAGGCAACTCCGGCTCAGTTTCCCTTCCATGCTTCAGGGATGGGCAATGTAGGTGTTCAAGACGGAACAGGGGTTTTGTTGTCTGCCTCTGGCTGCCTTTGATCCTGAAACCAGATTTTGTGCGTGGGTGTATTTCTGTGGGCGGCGCACTAGCGCAGTGGTGAGCATTGCTGCCTCACAGCGCTGGGGCCCTGGGTTCAATTCCTGGGGTGCTGTCTGCGTGGAGTTTGCATGTGCTCCCTAGTTGCTCTGGTTTCCTCCCACGGACCAACAAAATACAGGATTGTTCATTGTCGTCTGGGAAAATGGGCCTGGTGCGAGTGTGTGGGTGTGTTTGTGTTTATGTCTGCCCTGTGATGGACTGGCGTCTCATTCAGGGTGTACCCTGCCTTGTGCCAGTGCTTCCTGGGAGAGAGTCCGGGGAAGATGGTGTGTATTACTGTATGTGTGTGTGTGACAACTGACTATTGCCCAGTGGCTTCAGGTGTTCTGTCCAGGGAAGGAGCTCGATGTTTTGAAATGCACCAAGCTGCTTCGCAGTAACTACAGGAATGCAAGGGTCTGCGGGATAAGCTGATGTTTGGAAAACATCTTCCCTATTGCAAATTACACACCCACTGGGCCACAACTGGGAAAACACTGCCGGCAATAAAGCGAATCAGTAGCGTGCCTTTCCTCGCTCCCTGCGAGCACAAGCCGAAAGCAGCTTTCAGCACAGCGAGAACCAGTTCAGGCCTTTGATTTCATCACGTTTAATCAGCTCTCGAGAAAGGATGGTCGGGCCACTGCCATTCTCCCTGCCTAGCAGAGGAAATACCACGTCTAGCAGGAGTTCTGTACAATTTGGACAACTTATTGCGCTGACAAAACCGTAATTCATTATTTGTTTTGCTCTTGGGATTGAACATTGACACAATGAAGTGCTTTTTGCGCACAGGGTACTGCCTTTCAGTATTATTAGGAGATATACAAGATTACATGAATGATTGTGCAGGAAAACGCTGCAGATAGCCTACCACTGTAGTACAGGATGTTTATAGCAAGGGAAGAATAATATTACAATTAGTATGTTGTTATAGTAATAGCAATTATTCTAGGAATATTATCATGTAGAATATATAATAATATTGTATATACTGTAATTAGAATATATAAATATATTGTACTGTATGTACTATAATTTCTACAGAATAATGGATTCGGGTGTGAAGCTGCCCTCAGCATGTGTAGACTGCAAAGGAACAGGCAAAGGTTTACTCTGTGCTGAGAGGAAAAGAAAAGGGACACAACGTTTCGTCTGTAGAGCCTTCTTCGGGTGCATATTATAGATTCTAAAGTCCTGGCCAATTAAAGCCCTCTGTCAGACACTGGGTAATTTCCTCGGAGAGGAAGCAGCCCGTTTTAAGCAGCCTTACGGTATTCCTTATGTTGAGAGATGAAGTGCTAGTGACCCCTGGCGGTCTTAATCCATAATGCCCGTAGATGAACTGCTAGTATAGTAACAGTACTACTAAAATAAATTCAGACTCGAGACTAATCTTTATGCCAGATAAAAGGCAGAACCTAATGATGATCAAATCTTTAACAGGGAATTTCAAACACAGATTATCACTATAATTACGAGCATTCTTTCATCTGATGAGATTTTAAAATTATGTCGCCTAAGCAAACGTCTCTTAAAAATTGGTTTAAATTCACCAAGTTACAACGTACAGTATGCAAACTACCACGTTTATGCAAATATGCACGTAAAAATTAATTCATACAATCTGTAAGGTAAATCTGCGCTGAAACGCTTTCGGTCACTTGCATCGTCACAGCAATTTATTGTACAGATGAAGAATTATTACTATTATACTATGATTTATTCATAATCATTTTTGCTGTATCGCAATGTCTGTTTCTTTGCTGCTCTGCAGTACTTCAATCCACTCTTTGTTAAGTGTGTGGGGGGAAAAAAAGCTGTTTCACGCAGTGTTACCTAAAGGGTAGTATTCCCGAACAGGTTATGTTGCATTACTAAACTCAGCTTCGCACGCAGCAAACAGATCTGAAGATCTGTGGCCCGCCTGAAGCGGTGGGCGGTCAGGATTACAACATTACGGTGGGGGAAAAGATGGCGACCAGGGCAATGTTCTGTTCAGAGCGGGTGCGTTGAAACGCACTTAATACAGAGAAAAATTCCCAACTTACTCTTGGAGGGATGGCATGTTGTTCATGGCATAAATGACCCCCAGGGAAGACAGCGAGAGGAGAAAGACGCCGATTTCTGTAGGCAGGTTCATCTTTGCCAAAGCCGCGGCACCTGTGCAAAATCACAGCCGGTTTCTCTTGCCAGTAAAGCGCAGAAGGGGGTCAGGTGCCCGGAGAGCCAGCGACGTCCGTTGACTGTATCCACACAGACACACGGAAACAAATCAGGAAAAGAGCGACGAGTTCACCGACGTTTAAATTAAAAATCGCATTGTGGGGCATGGGAGTTTCACACGCCTCTCCTTCCTCAACTAATAGCCGTGTGTGAGTGACTTGTATTGTAGCTTACACAGAGAGGTTGAGCAACTTTCCAGATGCCGCGTCAGATTCTAACACGGCTTAGCTTTCAAAGTCCACAACCTCGACCATTTCGCGATAGCGCCATGCCTCGGCCCGCTTGGCCGCACAGGTGTGCGACAGGTTACTATCTAACGCTGACCGTGGGTATTGCAAGATAGGCACGATCACAGAAACGCACCTGGGTCTCCTGTTACAAGAAATGCAGTTGCTACAAGTTACCTAAGGATTAGCCAGCTGCAGTTTACAAACACCCGAGGAGTTAGCAAGACACACAATGGACCCTTTTCATTCTGCTTATATAATTTGGAGTCTTTAATGGCGGGTTTACATAATTCATAGTTCAAGTGCCAAAATTAAATAAAAAAAAAACTACTCAACAAATGAGTTCACGATTGAGGAGTAGTGGCTTAAGCGGACAAGTCTAATTAGTGGTTATGTGCAAAAATGAACAAGTCTGGTGCACTTATGGTGCTCAGGCTCTGAAAGGGGGAGGATTAATTTACAGGCTCTGGTAACCTGATTCCTGTGGGAGTGGGGCATAACAACTTTGAATAGTTGATGTTTTTATGTAATATTTGGAATGCCGTGCTTATTTGTACTGTTTCTATGTTTTTGTAAGCCAATGACTGTGTAAAACACAACTGCTTGGAAGCAAAGCAAATCTCTGGGAAGCCAGACAAATTGTTATCGTATCGTAAAATATGTAGGTGACACCGAACCTCTTGTTTAATCGAAAGGCGTTATTAGTAAGCAAAATCATTTCTTTAACGGACAAGTTAGATAAAATTATATCACGGCGCGTCGGTGCACTTTAATAATCTTTATGAGATTTATATCGCAGACAGATTATGCTAGTGTCTAAAATACTTCTAATCTCATTGGTAGCAGTCGATACATCTGTATGTTTTACACATAAATATGAAAAACACACTACGTTGCATTGAACACGTTGGTACGAAAGAACAGTATCTGTTATTGATGATTAATTGATTAATTCGGGCTTTAATCTATTTTAAAGAAAGTATTCAGTTCATTAGAACTATTACAGATGAATACATTTTTAAACTTTGACGTAGCTGTGAACGAAATTAACCTTTTTGATCCATAAAACACATCAAGGTGTGAGCTTGGTATTGGTATGAAAAAGTAGCTCCATTTACTAGTTAAATCCACCAGAGGACGCTCTTTTCCTAGCAATTGCCCTGAGATCAATGGTTCTGGGACGCTCCAACTACAGCATTAATTGGTCCTTAGTTTTTTTTTTTTCCCGGGAGAGTAACGTAATTCCTGATGTAAACGCCTGTAGATTTAGAACAGGTTCTCAACAACGATGTGCAACACGGCGCCATAATTCCTATGAGCTGATTTCTTTTTAGGAATTACGCGCAAGCGACAAAGGCACCCAGCAGCCTTGAAGTTGCCCGTTAAAGCTTGGTTACACGGCTGTTTCGTTTTGAGCACAGAAGGACCGTACGGGTGGTGAAGGTTAAAGTGGGAGTCCCGGGAAGGTTCCAGAATGCAGGATTTTATTTTTAGGGATTGGATTAGATTGGAAAACCTCAGCCGAACTTGGCGTTGTGAGAGCGCAGGGACATCCTCAGCGCCTTATATGTAATGTGTCTGGGCGGCTCTCGCTCGGATGCGTGGAAGTGTCCCGCAGTGTGTGGTGTGAGAGGGACAGGACAGCGGCGTCTTTCACAGTGTCAACCACGGCCAGACAGCTCGTCCCCCCGCCGGGGAATTCCAGAACGCTGGAAAGGGGAAGTCGAGGTGTGCGGTGATGTCACCAGTTAGTCAAAACACGGTTCACTGGAACCAGCGACTGACTTTGGAAGGGGGGGGGTTGACTTCATTTAAAATTCAATTTAACACACTACCAACAGGTATGCCTTTGGAGTAGAGGCAGTGTAATATGTGCAATATAAGAAATGGAGTCCAGTCACTTATGGGACAATACAATCTAATGCTGTGTTCATTGAAGCCTGTTAGGGTCACAAGATCCGTCCGTCTCTATGTTGACAAATGAGGAAGGAGATCCAATTTCTGTAATCGCTTTATGCTGGGGGGGAGGGGGGGCAGAGTTTAATCAAGCAAAAAATGGTTATGGTACTACACGCTTTGTACTGGTCCACCGCAGGTCTCACACACACATGGACTGTGCAATACATGCAAACTCCACACAGAAGATGCCCCAGGGCCAGGGCCCGAGATGTGTGAGGCAGAAGAGCACGCTGCCAGATTGCAGTGCTTTGAAACTTTGCTTTATTAAGGTGTCCCCACACAACTCAGATGCCGTCCCACACAGACGATTCATTTCAGATCCTGGCACGGCGTGCATCCTGACTGTGAGAAAACGCCGTTTAAAAAACTGATTGGAGAAGGGATTTCCAACCTGTGCAAACCTCAGAAGAACAGCATAAAAACACGGAGAGAAACCCCCACCCACCCCAGTCCCTTTTTCCAACTGGACAGCCTCTCCTCCACTGACCTCTGACCTCCAAACCCACTACTTCGGCCACTTCAATTAGTCATTTCTTCTCTCTCCAGGCCCTCGCAGAAATTCTGCGGAGAACAACAGTTTATTTCCGTCAATGTCCCAGTGCCTTGAGGAACTATAAAACAACTCCAACTCCCACAACAGGACCAAGGTTTGTGTTGTGTTTTTCCACACTAAATTCCCACCATCTATTCTAGGACAGGAAAGAAACAACTGGGGTTTTTTTTTCAGTACTTCAGAGTGGAAAAGAACGCCGTCTGAGGCTCCTTACACGCAACCGCCAGAGTGTTTGTCAAGGTTTCTGCAAAGGCTCAGTCACAGGGCCAGGGCAAAAGGGACTTTCTGCTCATCAGTAAAGCACAATCCCCCCTTTCATCGGAGAATTGCTGACTAAACGTTTCAGGAAGCACAGAATTAAATTCGGTGATAGCCTGGGCTTGCAGAGCACAAGACCAGATGACACTAAATCAGATAAACAAAAGGCGCAAGCTGCCAAATATACAGCACTGGAACTGGATGTGTGGAGAATTTTGCCCTGTGCCACGTCCTCTTAGCTTTCCCGTCTCTGATGTTCTCATTATGAGCTGCTAAAAATCAACAAGGCTTGCCTTGGACTGAAAATGTTGAAAGCCGAAGTTGTGCACTATTCACAGCTTACTTGGGGCAGAAACTAGGGGCCCATCATTGGAGTCCACAGACAAGTCCTTGAGCAGCTTAGCCACAGGCAGGGTGGATTGCTATCCCAGCATGCAAACCTTTGCCTGTCTGTGCACGACGTTGATGTTACGGACACGGCCTGAGATCCGTGTCAGGTCTTGTAGTAGACCCTGTGCGATGAGGTAAGAGCTGGAGAAAACAGCAGGCGTGGTAAAAGGAAACACACAGGGGTTTAATAGTGCACAAAATAATAGTGACAGTCCGTGAGACAGTGAA